GATAAAAATGGTAAATTAAAACAGGTAGAATCTACATTTATATTCCATTTTTAATGGCTTTCTTCAAATTAATGATTTAATGCCCTTTAAATATTTTAGTTATATTAATTTCATTAAGATAATTTAAAAAATTAAGAAATAGTTTAAGGAATACATTTTTAAAGCTATTCTAATAATAACAGACTTAATCCATTGCTCATATAATTTCAGGTCAATAAAGAAAAGAAATAGTGCAAGGATTAATTTTTAATGATTTCAGTGTCCAAAACAAATCATAAAGTACATTAAATACACGTATTTATATAATTTTTATATAGCAGTTTGATCTACATTAACTATATATACACAATATTTCACAAAATGTTCATAAAACAAGTATATCAGAGCAAAATATACTAAAATACCTACCCTTCCATGATACCAATCTTCACAAATAATACATTGGACCATTTCATCTGGAACCTAGTGAAAGAAACAACAAATTCCATAACGTTCGAGACAAAATTTAATCAATAATTGTTCAGATGATAACAAAAATAAGAAATAGTTTAAGGATTGATTTTAATGCTTTTCTAATAATAATAATAATACTAATAGACTTAATCCATTGTTCAGATAATCTCAGTTCAATATAGATAAGAAAAGGTGTAAGGATTAATTTTTAATGATATTCTAAGAGCACAAAACAAAACTTGAAAATACATTAAATACACATATTTGTATAAATGTTATATAACAACTATCTAGTTATTATTTAACTTTATTATTATTTTTTCTGACTCAGTTTCATAGACCAAAACTGCAGTTACTTGTAGGTTATTACAAACAGTTCTAGGAATGTTCTCACTGGTTCATGGGCATCTTTGTGCATCATCTGTTTAATCAATTTCAGTTCAGGACTATTGAAGGCATATGTAATTTCCATTTTATGAATTATATGCATAAATTTTGTTATTCATATTCCTTCCAAATAAAATGGGTTTGCTCAATATCATTTGAAGTTGGTTTGACATCTTCATATTGGTAGTTTATCCAAACTCCAACTAGGATTTTTTGTAATTTCTTTTAACTGTTCATCTCCACTATTGTTCCTGCTTTTCTGTGCTTATTGTTACTTTCTTTAAAATACAAAGACTAAGTGTCCCACACGAAACTCTAATAACAAGTTTTATATTTTGTAATATCTCTCTCCAAACTAAATATGACACTCCACATTCTAATAACAAATTTTATGTCAGTAACAATTTCTCTTTCCAGACTTGATATACCTCCTTCTTGTTTTAAACCTAAATATATAATTGCTTTTAGATAGTTTATGATTTTTTCTCATTTTGACATTACAGATTTAAAATTACAAATTTGAAAAATTTTAGAAGTTAATTGATATTGTCGCAAATATTACTTGAGATAGATTATTATAAATAATTCATACATACATATGCGTGTATACAAACAAAAGATGGTTCAACAGCACATAAATTTTTAACTTTCATGTTTCAGATTGATGTACATAAGCATGTCTAACACTGACAAAGGACCCAAGTTTTGGCACTAGAGATCAAACATTATCCACACGGAAAAAATTTAAATGTGGAAAACTAGCTTTTAGGCCACCATGTGCACATGATATACACCTCATTGGGGTGAGATGTGGGTTAGTTATTTAAACAAATGCAGAGAGCTTAAATAATTGACTGATAAAAATTACGTCTAACATGGTAGGAAAGGTCCATCGTAAAAGTTAGTTTTTTAATTTTAATAATTTTTAACATATGGAAATAACAATGTTTAATTACAATTTCATTTAATTACAATTTTGAACACAACTTTACTTCAGTTTCTATATTGACTAAATTTATCATTTTGAATGTAATCAATCATATAATATAATTTTATAAAACTTTATTCTTGAGATGAAAGTCAGTTTTGCTGTAAAATATTAAAGAATGCAAGATGAAATCTGGCCATCACCTAAAGAAAGGTTATAACAAACCAAAAAAGTCTGATATGAATAAATAAAGCAACAAGTATAAACACCTTAATATAAATCATTTGAGAACCATACATCATTTTAACAAAAATTAAGTTAGTGATACAAATCAATAATATACCTCCATAGAATTATGAGTTATCAGTTTTTTGTTTTTGTATTTATAAAGTAAAATTAAATACAAACCATGCAATACATATTATTGAGTTATGATGGCTTTATCTTTTACACTGAATTATACATAAAACCACAGACTAGGCCTACAATGAATAGTTAACATCAACAGTCAACATTCAGTTGTGTGAAGACTCATTAACAATTCTACCATCAAACAAGGGAGATCAGAAATATAAAAATTTTTTTAAATAATTTTCATTGAACTGACTTGAAGACACTAGCATTCCATCTGTCAGTTACTAACAACTGTGAACATTTTAAATGATCAAGCATAGGCCTACTGGAATGGTGTGGCAGCTTAAGAGAAACTCAGTAAGTTAAGTGACTGGAAGGCATAATCAATTTATTCAGTAAGAACATATAATGTTAGGCCAGAAATACATAAGTACATTTTACGCAATTTTATCTTGGCAACTCATTCCACCAATAAAAATTTACCATGTGTCACCAACTGAAAACTTGTCAACATATTTTTGACTGGCAATTGAAATTCTAGAAAAGATCACTACTCTATTTTCAGTATTTCAGTTGATAATTTGTCTATGAGCCTGAGAGTGTTCAGCCGATACTGCTCTTTCTGATCACCTGATTTCAATCCCAATTTAGCTAACCAGGAAGTACGGTTAGAGACAAGTGTACGTATGAGGAAACTTTGTATATCAACTTTTTTCATGATAGAAAATATTTTTGGGATGTTAAATGTGCAACATATAAAGGGTGTAATAAAGCACAGGGACATGCTTAAAACCTTTTTAATCCCACAGAATTATCTATATTATCTATGAAGTGAAGAAGTTAAAAAAATCAATACACTTAATATTCAATTTTGTTACACACATTTGTTGAGTAATTACTTTAAAAAACACGAAGGTTTATTTAAAGTGATGTTTTAGACAAATATATTTTATTTGAAAAGGCAGCTTTTCTACTGGTAAAGCAAACAAGATAAATTAAAATTCGGAATATAAACACCAGCAAATAGTTACTGTAAAAAAGTAAGCAAACAAAGGGTAGAGATACTGTAGACATTATTTACTCAAACTACAAATCCCTATTTTGACTCCACCAAAGGCTTTTCTAGCTTTTCTGAGCATTTGTTTTGAATAGTCTGTGTGCAAAGTAATTTTCATATTAGAATTAAAAATACTTTTCCTCATCTCAAAAATCTCACATTTCCATTGTGTAATCCTTAAAGCCTCCTAAATGCCTTTCATATGTATTTCTTTAAGTAAAACTTTATAGTTTATCTGTTATTTTCTCTACCCTGTCTCACAATGGGATTGGCCAATTTGACCAACTTTATAACCACCCCCTAAAAAAATCGAAATAAGCCTAAATTAACCTTATTTTCCTTATGAAATGAATTCAAATTGTAACATGAAACTACATTCGTTTATACTAAGTAGGTCTAAGTTCATAACATTATACATCTATTTATATATAAATTTTATTGTTTTATTGGTTTTGAACCATGTCCAACTACTATCCACGCCATTATTAGTTTTAAATCACTTGGGGAACATGCAGTTCATGTTATGCTATCAAATTACATTACCCATGAGCTGCTCGTGTGTGCACCTCGTGAACCATTTTAATTATATTATTATTATTACTTATTTTACCTAATCTAGACCTAATAAAGATTTTAGTTACTTATATAATAATATATACAGAATAAATATGAAAAACAAGAAATAAAGTACTTATCCTATATTCTGTATTCTTGCTCTCAGGTTTTCAAAGAGAGTTAACCCTAATTTTTTATGCTATAGATACTAATGGACTAATATTTCACTAAAGAATATAGACTAATAGCATGCAAAAGTAGACAAATTTACTTATCTCTAAAAATTTTCATGGCTTTCTCACTGTGCGACAAGAGCCACTATAAAATTCATCCAAGCTAGTTGTTAACTTTCCCACTGGAATGAATCGTGTACTGTCAGTGAAATTATACAATACGTCAATTGATAGATGAAAACCTTGACTTTCTATTGGTTATAGGTAAAATATAATGAAATGTAAAAGAGAACTATCAACGAATTGTGAAAGAGAGGATGTGACAGGTTGGTGTGGAAAGAGTGGTCTAATTTTCTATTTGAAAGCTCTGTAACCAAACAAAATTGGAGGCTATACAAATTATGGTTTGTTTGAGCTATAATGATTTTATTGAGAGTATTTTACATTTAATTTCATACTTTTTTGAGGGGTGGTGTATAAAATAGGGATAATGACATGCCAAGAGAAAATGTATCACATGGGTCACACTAGGGGAAATTCAGGATTTTCTAAAATATTGCCTTGTTGAATTAAGAACTTAAAAGTTGTATGTTAGTAAAATATGGATTATTAGCTAAGATTTTATGTTACTCTAATTGGTATAATAAACAAAAAGTAGTTTAATAAAATTTTGAATGCAAGAAACTAAAACCATGTGTCATGCACAGTAAAAGATACCTGGGGCGATATGGTTGATAGGTTCATTGGGGAGATCTGCATTTGTATGTAGATGTCTGTAAGGAGGGAATGATACTCAGAGTAAGAGAAATTGTTTAGTTTGATGCAGAGAAAGGAAGCTTTTCTATCCTTCGCCTCCCTTCATCTTCTGCAGCAACCAAATACTTAAGCGTAATAGACTTACTTCAAAGAGAAATGGCATGTTAATAGAAATAGAAAATCTGCAAATTCTGTTCTGAGAAACTCAAAGTGGAGGCCAAGTGTATGAACATGCATGTTCCATTTCAGGTTATTGACCTCAAAGTGAGTCTGAATCTTCTGACGAGTCAGCCTTTCAATAAGCATATTCACACAACAGGAACATGTGGTAGACAAGGCTGAGGAGTTGGTTGAAATTAGAAACAAGAGTAAGACGTAGATGGAGAAGAATTGTGTCAGGAAACAAAAACATTTGAAATTAAAGTTCCTAAATTTTAAATTACAAGCTTATATCTAAAACATAAAAAAGAGAAAAAAATATTATTTTGTGAAATAATCACTCAATTACTACTGTAATTAGTTTAGTGTTTGACTAATGTGTACTTTGAGAAAAATCTTCCTACAGTCACAGGATTACTAGAAAATACTGTAGCTTATACTTAACATTTTTCACATTATCAGTAATGTTACATTACTAAATTGAATAAAAAAGTAATACATACATACATATATAAATATATAAATTTTACTGAATTTGTTTTAAATAACTATTTTGGTTAATTAAAACAGGTAAAATATAAACACAGAGCTGTTGGACAAATCTTCTACATCTTACTAGCTGCCTTCACAATCTACAGATTTGCCTTGAGCAAAACATTCCAAGTAAAATTTATAATGTTTAAAAATCTTACAAGAATTACTTGACATACAGATTCATTACTAGACAATTTTTCCATCATGTAATTAAGAAAATTACAAAAAATATTGAAATTAGGGTTGGAAAAAAGTTATATTAACATATTATTCATTTCATGCTGCAAAACAGGCATTCATATTTTACAAATGAAAGCACACTATATTTTGTATATCAGAATAGCAGATATTTATTGAGCTTTCTAATGTTTAACATCAATATTCTGATCTTCTCTTTGTATAGTACAAACTAATACAGCATTAATTAATACTCACTTCATCATCTGGGTCAGGATATGGTCGTTCACATGAACAGTATCTTCCTCTGAAGTTATGGTTGTATTCATTTTGATAATTCAATCCATCTTTCTTCTGTAATAACCCCCCCCAAAAAAAAGTACAATAAAGGTTTCATCATTCCTGAATACTTATAAACATTCTTTTTAGGTGGATGTTATAAAACCTTGTGTACTATAGACAAAATAACACAATACACTTAAAGCTTTTTAAAATAGAGAACTTTGGGTTGCAGAATAAAATTACCATTTTCACAGCTACTCAAACTTTCCATTAACTACTTAATTGTTGAAACACTACTAACAACAAGGGCACCCTACTAATTCTTTACTATATATTTTAGTACCAATAAATGCTTGTTATATTGATTATGTAAGACCAAGAATCATCCATACTGAGGAATGGATAGGATCGTGTGCATGTTGCTTTGTGAGATACAAAGACTTGTCTTAATTACAAAATGATTTACTATGTCATTGTTTTTTTATCCCACATGCATTTTATTCATTCTATTTGTAATCTTTTGTTAAATGTCAGTAGGCCACATGGTTGTTCCTTGTGGGCCAGATGTAGCCCACAAGATGACAGTTGAGGAGCCCTGACATGTGGCAGGGTAGTCACAGAAACATTTTTTAGTTTGCCTGTTATCATTATTAAGACTATTTGTAATTAACTGTAATTATTACTGTTGAATTACAGCAGGTCTTTCGATAGTTATTACATAATTGTAACAAGTGACTATACGAAGTAAAAAGTGACACATCTTCAAAAATTTCAATAAAAATGAATACTTGCAATAAATTAGCTTAAGACATCTTAAGAAAGCATAGTTCTAAAGAAACTGTCAAAAGAACTTTAAACACCTAAATTTGCGAATGAAGGAAATGACCACCTTTATTAGCATCGAGCAACTTCAAAAACACTTAACTACAAATGCAAAAAAATAACTTAGTCCAGGGGCTAAAAAAAACAAGAAAAAAGACCAAAGAGAAAAGAAAAACGTAAGATTTATTACTAAAAACTAAACTATACTTTATTAGTCTGCTACACTTACTAACTACTTACCTACGTATACTAGAATA